GGGGTGGTGGGTGTTGGCGGGTGAGAGAAAATTCTCTTTCCAGCATTCAATCAGATTTGTGTCCCCCAATTGGCATTAAAAAGCAGTCTCTGCTGATGTTCATAGGGGCAGGGGTAATCGGGGAGGAACAGCGACTGGCCACTCAGATGATGCTCTGTCCCTCTGCTACCGGCTGTCCCCTGGCCGGTGTCCCCCATTGGGGGTTCCCTGAAGGCAATCAAGGCCACCCTGGGCTGAAAACGCCACCCGATGTCAGATTAGACACAATATTGAATTTACCTGGGCTGGTTAGTCCGATGATAATACCTCAAGGCCATCACCCTTTTGGGGAAAAAAAAAAATAATAATAATAATAAAATAAAATTGTTAACTAAACCAACAGTGGCAAGGTGTGATTTTCCCGGCTTGAAAAAAAAAAGGGTAAACTGCACCAGTGGCAAGGTGTGATTTTCGAGCGCTGGGTGTAATCGGAAAAAAAAAAAAGAAAAAGAAAAAAGGAACTGTTGGTTTACTTAGCAGAAAGGGATTCACCACCTGGCAGCTTCAGGTTTTTGTTACAGATCGCAAATGGGGGGAACCCTAAACCCAACTTCTTTATTTCCAAGATCCGCAGAGAAACTGTGTGTCACGGTCTCGCCATATAAGATTAAATTTTGTGTAAGGCGCCAGTTCCTTTCCCCGCTGTGACACACTTTTAGTATGAAATAAAAAAAGGCAAGAAAAGAGAAAGTGGCACCTGTGTCATGGTGTCATTTTCCAAATGTGCAAGTTTAGTGGGGGGTCTTGACCTGCACCAGTCATTACCTTGCAGTGGCGCAGTTGTGCTTGAGGCTTTCAGCCAATAGGGTGCCACCACGACCTCTATTTAACCGTTGTAACGGCTCTCTACATGTGTGCCCTCTCCTCTCCGTGAAACGTGGATCCTTGGCTCCACGAGTCCAAGGGACCTCGTGAGGTCCCTTGGAGCCAAGGATGATTTGGCTGGGAAATCCTTGGAGCCCAAGGGTTTGTCCTCGGAGTGTTTTCACATTTTCATTTCCGATTTCATCTCAGAGGACAGGTCGAACGAGGACAAAATGCTTGGAATCACGTCCCCAAGGAGTGTCTAACGAGCCCCTTTAAGGCTTTAAGTTAGGGGGGTCGCCGTCTGGCGCCATTTCGGGAACTGCTAACATTGCCGCTATTCTGAATGTTGGGTGTGACTCCAACGTACTTGCCGCAAAAAAAATACCGCGGCGGTTAGCGCGGAAGATCAGGCCTGCGGCGAAATGGCTGGCGATGCCGGCCAGATATCATTACATCCGCGTCGGTTCGTTCTGTTCTTTTTTTTGGGTGGGGGGCGGGGGGAACTTCGCACTCGCGGAAGCCCAGTTAACGAGGTGATAAGAGCAGCCCCGTTAAGTGCGTCCCAGCGTTTGAAGGCTCCATCTATTGGTGGGGAGCTGCACCTGCTGGAAATCGGGTCCAGCGTCCCTGTACAATGATATGATATGTGAGGAGGTTGTATTGTGTGTCTGTATATGCAGGAGGCATTGATTACTTCCAACAAGGAGGGAAGGATTGACCTCCTGCCCATGTAACCGAAACCCTCACGAAAGCATTTCCATCCAGCATCTGGGAAAACGTCCCGAAATTCCCCCAACTCAACACTTGAAACCCGAAGTGACCAACCTTTCACCTGGAGAACGATCTACACCACCTCTTTATCATGGATTGACGGTCGAGCAACGCCTGATCATTGACATGGATGTAGTCTAACCCACTCCCAACCGATGCCGAACAGAGAGGTGCAAAGGATGAATGGTGAGAGGCTCCACACAGGAAAGAGAGGGGAAAGCAAAACACACATTCAAGCTCAAACCTCTACCCACCATCGTCATGAAATCCCTAGCCCTATCCCATCGTGCTTTTTTTTTTCTTTTTTTCTCTTTAACCACTAGTACCTTAAAGTTCGGCATCCGGTTTCGACAAGTTCTTGCCAACTCCCGAACTTTCAGGAGGCTGAGCCCGACGTTGATCAATCTGATCGGCGGCCGCCGTTTCGTTTCGGCCTCCTGAAAGGTCGGAGGACCGCTATTTTCCGAACCGACAAAGGTACTAGTGGTTTAAAGCTCCAATCTATTTGTGGGGAGCAGCTCGTGCTGGGAACCGGGCCCAGCATCCCTTATAATTGGAATACATTAATGATTGATGAGAATTTGCCAGTGAGATGATTCAGGAACACTTCCAGATGATTGAGATAACAAGCTAGAGATTGATGCTGACTACTCAGAATGCTTATCTACTCAAAACTCACATACTACCCTAACCCTAATCTTAGGTATTCAACTTGAAACCAACTAGCCAATCTCTATCGAGCCAATACTGTGTACCAACCAAGCCTCTACCCGGTCTCACACCCCAATCCAGCTAGGTTACAGGGCAGTGCCACCCACCCAGCGTCGACCCTCGTCGACCAAATTGTAGCCTTCGGTCGAGTATTATGATTGCCTTCCACCCTCAGCAATCCCCAGATCTCTATCCAAGGCCTCAAGAACTTATGAAGGTTACAAGGCGATGCCCCAGCACCGACCAGCGTCGTTCTAGCTACTACTCAACCTAGGCAAAAACACAATAAAAGCTCATTCAGGGAATCAACTATATTAGAATGTCACCTAAGAATTCGAATCTGATAATGGTGGGATCGAGAGCAGACAACCAATCTGATAACAATGGTGATGATATTGATATGATGATGATGATGATGATGATGATATTGATGATGATGATATTGATGATGATGATACGATAGATGAGGAAGATAGATGATGAAGATAGATGTTGCTTCGTCTTCCTCTTTCCTCCTCCTTTCTTCCCCCTCTTTTCTCCCCTCTTCCCTTCTCGCTGCCTCAGAGTCTGTTGAGTAGAACTATCTGATCATAGGCAGTACCAATCAGCCTCAACAAGAAAGAAACCCTCCACTGCCATTGATCCTTCGAGGCAACCAGTTCCCCCTAAACGTATACCTCCAGCCAATGCCTGCCAACAACGATTTCGTCAAAACGAACATTTTATATTTTTTGAACGAAATTGAAATTGATATTTTCATGGTCATTTTGGGTCAAAAATGCATTTGAAATTCGAGGTTTGGGGTACGGGTATACACGTTAGGGGTACGGGGTAAGGGGTAAGGGGTAAGGGGTAAGGGGTAACGGGTAAGGGGTAAAGAGTAAGGGGTAAGGGGTAAGGGGTAAGGGGTCTAGGGGTAAGGGATAAGGGGTAAATGGCAAGTGGTACAGGGTAAGGGTATGGAGCAATGTTTGCCACCTTCGATACACTGATTCCGTTACACACAATTTCATGTTACCCACATCCGTCCGCATGTAATCCTAAAATTCAATAACAGGTACATACTACTCACAAGCCACAGTGTCCAAAGCCAGTCGATAACGTATTGCGGGTATGTCATCAGCGGTGAAAGAGAAAGGCAGAAGGTGATCCCTTGCCAATAGCGATGCGTATGTGAGCATGAAGACCCCACATAAGTTCGTGTCACGTTGTTTCGGGACGCTCTCGACGTTCCATATGCGATTGAACGGTTTCGTGTCTACCTCTTTGCCTTGCTCAATAGATCTTTCGAATAGAAACTTCGCAAAACCGCCGGTTGCTTTTCTTGCCAGTTCCATGTCGAGGCTGAGGTAGTCATAAAATTTGAATTTTCTCCTTCTGAAGTCAGCCACAATGAGGGTCCAGTGGTTCATGTGTATGATATGGAAAGGGGCAATGATCAAATTCATGTCACTTATTATGACGTCTTTCAACCAATGTTGCACCTCTCGCTCTCGATACCTCATTTCGGTGTTGAAAAGTTTGGTGAAGAAAATTTAGAAAAACGAGTTCGCCACTGATATTCTAGGAATGCGACCCTTTCCTTTTCTAATCACGGTTTCATTCCCTGCGTCACATTCTACGTGTGCGATTTTACAACAATTGTCTAGCGTGATGAGGTTTAGGTAGAAGTTGACGACGTTGTCATTTAACTTATTCCGTTCGCCGACCAGTAAAATGAAATCGCTTCCAGTGAGCTTCAAAACTTCGTTCGTCTTGTGATTTTGTGTGCTCGCTATTAAAAACCTATTCCAGTACTCCCGGATGACATGTGAGAGTGATTTCATCTCCTTCTCTGATAAAATTGACGTTGCGAGGTGCATTGTCCACCCGCTTTTGCACTTTCTTGCATCCGTTGTTGTACTTTGCACTGCACACGACAATCAAGACGAATACGACATTAACGGGGGTGTAAAAACGATGGCCGATGGGGGAGGGAAGGGAAAACGGGGAGGGAAGGGGGGTGAGATCCTTGTACATGAGCAAGGGCCTTACAATAACATGATCAACAAATATGATGTATTCAAAATATGTCATCAATGTTTCTCTAATCTTACACTTACATGAACGACAATGATGTATGCAAGCAATCAATTTAGACTCCTACCCCCTTTGGTCACCGTACCCCAAAGGCGTACGTGCATATACATACCGCCACATCTCGACGAATATAGAAGGACACACATGCATAGTACAACACACTCTCGTTAACCGCACAATTTTTTTGTAGACAATGGAACGGTCAAATCCCACAAACTTAGATTGAAAACAAATAAGTAAACAGCGCAATTGTATACGAGCACGCAATTAAAAACATTGTACTTACCGCGAAAAGGATTTCCCTCGAGTCCACTCTCAACCTCACCCCTCATGTTGTACACGTGTGGAATCGACCATGCCCTAGTGAGCACCTTCTGCTCCATCCTCGTCGTCCGTGGTCATATTCTCAAGATTGCGAGAATGTTGAGACCCCTCTGCGTTCCCCCCCTTCCCTTCATCCCCTGCGGTCCCTCCCTGTGGCGTTGTTTTGCAAAGTGCATCACCTTTGTTAGTGGATGAGGGCGGATGCAAAGACATTCTTGTGACACTCATCGCAACAGCGGACTCCGATTCCATCTCTGATCTGCCTCCCATTGCTGCACCTGTCGCGAGGAGACTCCGGTATGTGGCGCTCGCATCTGACGGCTTATCGAGTGACGCATGTACACCTTGTGACGTATCCCCTGTGGCAACAGAGACAGCTATGACAGACTTTTTGCATGCGGACGTGTTTCCCACCTTTGGCAATGGAGCGTTCACGCTAGACGTGGTCCCGTCATCTTCCCTTTGCTCACCCTTCGTGTTCCCTGCGACCGCCTCATACAGAGGGACGACATTTTCTCGGGAGTTCACCTCCATGCTCTCGGCACTCCTCAAATCGGCGGTGCGGTTGATCTTCCAGTCGATTGATCCGCGCGAGGGGCTCGTGCACAGGTCGTAAAACTTATAGTTGTACTCCAACTGTTGAGCGGCTCGCAAGGCAATGAACAATTGTTTCTCCTTTGCTTTGGTAGAAGTTTCGCTCTCCCTGGGGTTCTCTCTCTGCACGCGGTATAAAATTGCTTGCTCCGTCGTTTTCAGCCAGATGTCCTTCGCCATACGGCCAATCGTCCTCCAACCGTTCACATACTTTACCGCCATCTTCCACTCCCCACCTTGGATGCATGGTTCAAAAATGTCATCATGCCAAATGATGTCATGGCCCCGCTTGTCCTCACTAGTGCGGGTATGTTTGTCCTCCAAGAAACACATAGTGTTTAGGTCCTCACAAAAGTTGGGAGGAATCGGATCGCCCGGCGCCAGCTTCGTCGCTTCATCAGGAATATCAAGCTCATCGTCTTCATTTTCATCCATTGGCGTATATTCAACCACGTCCACCATCGAGGCTACACTGTTCGCGGGTGGCGGGTTCGAGCATCCCTTTGATCGACCTAGTCCATATTCCTTGCCGTCACGCTCCATGGCAGCGGACTGTCCACGCTACCCGGCTGCATTGGTGTCGTTTTCGATATCGCGGTCAGAGTCCGGTGAGTCTCCCTCGCCGTCGACGGGGTTAAACCCTTCACCCGATTTAGCGAGCTTTGGATAGTCATTGAACGTCAGTTGGTCTTTGTGAAGATTAAACTTCGGGATCTCGCACCGAGCAACGAATGTCTCAAATGTTGTCGGCACGAATACCCTTACAAGGGTATCCGCCCTGGTTTTTGCAAGTGACAGAAAATAGTTTTGGTTTAAAGTTTAAGTATACCGCGCTAGGCGCGACTGCGTCTGTGATTGCGTTGACTGGGTGGTTGACCACAATAGAGAGTGCGTGGGCGCGCAGGTTAAAGGCGCGCGTGATTTTTTTCTTTCGTTGATCATAAAGCCAGCTCGGACGTCGACCGCCTCGTTTAATGATATTATTAGCTTTTACTTATTTCTGATTAAGCAGGATTTAGGGATATTTTCTTTTTGATTGGTATGTTCGACCGAGACCTGCGCACGTGCGGAGAAAGACCTCGACGACGGCAACGGCAGCGACGACGCGACTTCATGCGGGGAACGGGGTGTCGTAGGATGACGCGCGGGGCAATTATGGCACGGTAAGCGAGCCGGCGCGGGCCCTTGGAACCACTGTCGGGCGAATCGGTCCGGCACCGCACGTGGCAGCGCGGGACCCTCTCGGCCTCGTCACGCAGGAGTTGGACCAACCTCGTCGTGAATACACAAATGGAGTTTCCTTAGGCCGCTCCGGCCGATTGCGCCAGCCATACCTCTCGTGAGCGCCTACGACAGGATAGGGCCTACGCGAGGCACAACTTACCTCCACCTTGCGGGAACTGTCACCTCCCTTCGGTGGGCGTATCCCTGCCGAGCTATGAGTCCACAGTACGAAGGCCACTCGGTTGCAATCGCAGAGGTGGACCAACCGAGGGCGTTTCTCGTTCGCTGTAGCATAAGGGGTACGCGCGGTAATACGCCTATCGGACCCGTACGCGGGTCGACATCTTGGGGGGCTGAAGTCCCAAGCGTGGCCCGACGTCGGTCGACTAGGACGCATCCCACGCACCACGCGCACACCACCCTACGAACACAAAAACAAAATATACTCGCACGCACACATTGCACAAACGACACAACAAAAACAACGCAACAACGCTCCTAGTCTCTCGGTAGCCAACCCATAACTTTCCAATGCGGAAATCAGATAGGCGTCGCGCACGAGACTTAGTATAAAACCACGCGAACGCTGGGCTAACTCATATCGACTCGCAATGCAAACGTACGCCAGCAGTCGCAATGATGGCGTACTATGTCGTGCCCATAATCGTGCGGCCCTCGTTAGCCTCAAGGGTCGCATTCGACACTCAAGTGTCGGCTGACACGCGCCTTGAGGGTTAATCTCGTGATGCTAGACAACCTCCATGTGCGGTTGGAGACCACACCCTCTTCTGCACCCTGTGCAGAGGGGTTGAGTAGACAACTTTTAAGCTGTCGTGGCGGTCGAACATCAAGGGGTTTGACTTTGACGGACGCCACGGACTATAACGTCCAACCATGAAAACGCAAAAAAAAAGAAGCTCACTCCAACCCCCATTAGCTGATGACCCTCAGAAATGGAAAGGGGGTGGGTAAGCCCAAACAACGCGCGCTCGGAGGAGGTCCGACATCCTACCCATGGCTACCCGGCGTCCGGGGTGATGAAGCCCGTAAGCGGACTCCCATAGGCTGACCGGGGCTAGTCCTCCACCAACGTGCCGCTTCACGCTACTAAGACCCTAAGCCTACTGGCCGTGTCGCGCTCGTGATCTCGTCGCCTGACCCATAACTCCTTTAGTGCGGGATGCGACGAGTGCCGCGCACGAACTTCGTATAAGATCACGAGGGTGTTGGACTTACACATACTATCTCACTATGCAGCTCTGTGCGAGTAACCGCGATGATGGCGCATTATGTAGCGCTCACACCCACACGGCCTACTCGGAGCCAAGGAATCGCCCTTCGACGCTCAGGTGTAGGCTAAAGCGCGAGCCAATGAAGATAACCCTATAGTGCGCGCAAAACCGGCCTTAGGGTCTTTCCGTCTTCTGCACCCTGAGGTGTCCCAACGGGTGTGAGGCAAGACGGCCCCTAGGGCAGAAGGGAGTTTGGAGCGGTGGTGAGTTGTCTGGCGCATCACCGGCAACACGCTGACCCTTCCGCCCGGAACTTTATCGTTCTACCAAGATAAATCGTAACAAGGAAAATAAACCGGAATTGGCAAGGGATATCCTTTCCCTTCTATTCACCCCAACCTTCGACTGACCCTTAGTACGCTGGCACTTCAGGCCACGCTCGCTCCACACGTAGGTACACATGCACTGACACATATATATACATATATGCACAAGGGGAATAATTATGTGACGATCACTTCTCACAGTCATAGTGGGTCTCCTTCTAGCCATACATATATGTGCAACCCAACCAAAACCCCAAGTCTTTGAACATACCTGCAGTCACATAAAAAATCAGACAAGAGTCCACGCACTTCGCGGAGTCAACTCTAACCAGTTCCTATATTCATACCCCTCGCTTTAGCCATGCAAACCCTGGCCTCCAGCCAACCGACCTCAATTAAATACTCAGTACCTTTGTTAAATGGTCATTCAATAAAAGTCTGGGTGAAACTCTTAATAAACAAAATATCACCAGGGCTAAAGCCTTTTAGGTTGAGTATGGGGAGCGAGTAGGAATTGAGTGGTGAGCCGACATAATGATAACAGATGATGATCCTTGCAGGATCAAGCTGAACTAGCCCAAGTCCTGAATCGAATGTCCAAGAAAGACTTGTACCATAAGACTGGCCAATGCCCAAGCTAAATCATCAGCATATGGGGGATGAACCTCCATAGCGCACTCTTACTCAAAGTTACCCGCTAACTAAGTCTAAGCCTACCTCTAATCCAGTGCCCAAGCAAAGGTAAACTAACGGTAGGATCTCCCCTACTCAGGGTAGATTGTCAGAATCGCCACCTGTCAAAATATAATCTAACTCCTCTGAATCAAGAAAATTTCGCTAGTGCTTCCCGTAGTAAAAGTGTCTTTTCAGAATTTATATCCGCCCGAATATGAAAACAGAAATAGTCTTTGACTTTCCAAAGTCCAATTTTTGTCTAACGCCCTGAATTAGCAAATATTTGGGCAGCACTCCCTTTACAAAAGGAGACTTTCTAGATTTTTACTAAGTCATATATGAACTTTAGACAAGTTGAACTTTGAAAAGTCAAGAATTGACTAACTCCCTGGATTTGTAGAAAATTTCGGCAGCGCTTCCCGTAGAGAAAGCAGCTTACCAAAATTTATACAAACCCAAGTATAACAAAAGATCTCATAAAATGCGAGAATTGATCTAGTAAAATAAACTTAGCCTAGAAAATGCAGGAATTGAACTAACTCATATCGCTCTAGCACGTGGCGAGCAACTACAGCATCTACCTGTCAAACTGAAGGTCACGCCAAGTAGTAGCCTCCCTCAGCCACATGCAGGTCAAACCACAAAGGTAAGTACTCTCGCCATCCCAAGTCAACCTTCGCAAACAATAGTTCGTAATCTCTCGATGCTTTATTCCCTTATACCCAGCTTACATAGGGCATAAAGTCAAGCCGTCCAATCTTATGGAACCTGCCTGACTAAGCCATTGAGTATGCACGAACAGGTTGCACAACTACTTCTCTCTTCCTTTTGGGGCATATGACTAAGCCGTTCATCTTAGAACAAGGCTCAACCGCCATGAATTGTTAGATATCCAAATTATATATACCTCTCTGAGCTTGGTGTTCAAAAGCAAGGCATAAGACTGAGCCGGTCATCTTACAACAAGGCCCAGCCAGCCCAGGGTTACCTTCAATTATACTCTTAGTTATACTCACTTCACTTTATGATAAGTTATAACCAGACCGTCCAATCTTATGGAACCCATGCCTGACTAGCCTGTTCATAAATACGATAGTATAAAATACAGCCAAAATTTAACCCTTTGGGTTCCAGCATGTGCGAGCCATTGGGCCTGACCGTCCAATCTTATGGAACACATCTGGTCCTTTGCCAGGTTCGTTTCTCTCCGATCCCACCGTGTGCGGCGTGAGTCCAAGGCCATCCAATCTTATGGACATGCCCTGCCCCCAGCGGGAATTACTCCTTCGGAATGAAACAAGAGGGGGGGGTTGAGCCGTCCAATATTATGGACTTGCTCAGACCTCCTCGACCAAAAACAAAGGAAACAGAACAAACCCCGTCGTGGCACTCTGCAGTCTCCAATGAATCAATCAGCCTGTACGCCCGACCGAACCGGCCATCCACGGAATATGCTCAGCAAGCAAGTGCCCACCAACACAATGCCACTCAACGATACTATAGCTGTCCACCGGCCACCCTGTATGCCTCCCGACCCAATCACTGTCGCTCCTCCGCTTAGCCCCCCGTCCACTGTCCGCCTCCCAGATAGCTGGGACGCCCCAACCAGGTAAACACGGGCCCCAGAGTTGTCAGGTGCAAAAGCCGCACACGCCAGGACTTCGGAAGGCAACCACCGCAGTTGTTACTGAGAGCGAATTTGACTGACGCTCTGCTGAAACGGGGTATACACGCCTCCTGGAATACGGTTCCTCCCCTAAGCGCAGTCCCTGATGCCGAGCCTGGCAAGACCACCAATTGACAGTCCGGACCAACCCCTCCTTCTGTACTTCCAGCTTGCAGCCGGCCGAGTTTACGGTCGGGTTCAATCGAGAACTGCGATGGTAGCGAAGCAGCAACGGAACGTATGACTGCATTCACCTCCTCCAACGGGAACGAGCAAAATCGAATAAATCTTCCGCTAGAACACGGGAAGATACATCGCCACTCTACAGCCACTCCCTTACTAATGTCACTCAGACACTAACCGCAAATCCCCAATTCTAACCTTACCAACGTACTCGCCATGCTCGAAAACCTTTGCATGAGACCTCCTCACGTTAGAATTGACCAAACAACGACCAAAATCCGTTACTTCCGCCCCTCTCCACCGTAGCCTCC